CCCCAAAACCCCAAAACCCCAAAACCCCTGAAGACTAGATCCACAATAAAATTAATAAGATATCAATTATTATAATTGATACAATATAATATTTATTATAATGAGGCCTGATAAAAGTTTTAAGCTTTATCCTAGGCAAGACCAGGAATTCAAGAAAAAACACTCCCTTGATTTCTAGAGGGTACTTGGCAACTTATATGGAAAGAGACCAACTGGAAATAAAACATAGGCTTTCATGTGGATAATGTGCTTGATTATTGGAGTCATAATGGGTTCAATAGCATTCTTGATGGATCTTATTGTTAACTTCTTTGGAGATTTGAGGTGGAACTCTGCAGAGACAGCTGCAAGAGATCATGCCGGATTGGGATGGTTTGTACTTATTGTTTTTAGCGTATTATTCATAGTAATTGCAGCTGCTTTAACAATGTTTATTGCTCCAACTGCAATGGGTTCTGGAGTAGCTGAGGCCATGGGTATTATGAATGGAGTTGCATATCCAGATTACATAAGCTTACAGGGATTATTCGTCAAATTTATTGGAGTGTCTTTAGCTGTCGCAGGAGGTTTATGCGGAGGTAAAGAAGGTCCACTTGTACATATTGGAGCAATAGTTGGATATGCCTCTGCCTACTTACCTCTTGGAATCACTCAATACTTTAGAAATGATTTTGAAAAAAGAAAGCTTATGGCTGTAGGTACTGCAGCTGGTGTGAGTTGCGCTTTTGGAGCACCTATTGGGGGTTCACTATTTGCTTATGAAATTTCTAAGCCAAATACATTTTGGTCTTTCTCATTGACTTGGAAAGTATTTTTCTCTTCAACAGTCAGTACATTTATCTTAAGTGTCTTCAAGCAGCTTTATGATGGATTGGAACCTGTGAGAGTATCAAACTCTGACATCATCAAATTAGGAGAAACTAATTATAAAGCTCCAACAATGGATAGTTTAATTGCTGCTATAATTTTAGGATCATTCGGGGGCTTGCTTGGTGCAATTTTCATCATTATAAATAACTCAGTCAATACGCTTAGAAAATATCATCTAAAAAATAAGTGGCTTAAAATACTAGAATCAAATATACTTGTTATTCTTACAGCGACAGTAATGTACTTGGCTGTCTACATTAGATATGCTGCAGCAACAGATCCTGATAATAACTCAGATATTTGCGATATTGATAATAAATAAACAGTAGGTTTTAGAGAACCAACATCAGGGATTGAACCAGCTAAAACAAGATAATTTTTGTGCCCTGATGGTAAATTTGACAGATTGGCAACATTGATGTTTGACTCTCAGGCCAACATTATTAAGACTTTTATGGCTTCTGGATTAAGAACTATAATACTTGAAAATGCTTTGATATTTATGTTTATTTGGTATTTCTTTGTTTGCATCACCTCTGGCACTGCTGTCCCTGTTGGTATATTTATTCCATGCATACTTATCGGATGCTCTGTTGGACATGTATACAGTCATATTCACGAAGCAATGGGATTTAAAGTAAATTACAGTGATCCAAGTGAATCTGGAATATAACCAGGTATATTTGCTATTTTAGGTGCAACTGCAGTTTTATCTGGTTCTACCAGAATGACTTATTCATTAGCAGTAATTATGCTTGAAACAACATCGAGTGTAGAGTTGTTCTTCCCAATTATATTCACATTATTTGCTTCTTATGGAACTGGAGCTTTACTCATTAATAAGTCTATCTATTTAAGCGCACTTAGATCAAAAAATATTCCGCTACTTTCAAAAGATATTCCTAGAGAGAATAGAAACTTGTTAGTCAAAGAAGCGATGTCAGCCCCTCCAATTTGTTTCTTGTTTGTGGCTAAAGTAAAGGATATCTATTTCTAATTGTCAACAACAAATCATAATGGCTTCCCAGTTTAAGATAAGTAACATCGATTAATAGGACTAGTAGAAAGAGATGTACTTATTACTTTGATTGAAAAATAAGCATGGTATTTCCCAAATGATTCTAAATTACCAACATTTGGGGATGGTATTATAATTAAAAAAGACAGACTTTCTGATATTAATAGAAATAATTCAATGGAATCTTCAAGCAATGGCAGAGTGAGAGCAAGTTCCTAAGAGAATTAATACATTTAATCAAACTTCTAGTAAAACCTTCTACAGCAGGATATGGAACTAATGCATTAATAGGAGCAGAAGGTAGATGAAGCAGATTACGAAGATTATAGATTATTCCCTATTTAGGATGATAAGATCTAATGGTAAGATTTGAACCAAGATTTCAAGTCTAATATCAGAAACTACAAGGACATTACTGAATTGGCTGTAAGAAATCCAGACTAACTCCTAGATTTAAGGCCATATATGATTGAGAGACCTTATTCGGTGACTATCAAAGACAAACTTCCTAAGGCTCTTAATTTATTCAGACAAATGTAACTCAGATAACTGCCAGTCATAAATGACACAACCTGCAAAGTAGAGGGAATAATCACAAGGCAGGATTTATTCCAGTACATGAGTTTATGAGCAAAGCTCTAAAGTTTGAATTATTTAGTAAAATTATATTCCTATCCTCATCTGTTGTTAGATAGAGGATTAAGTTTCATCGAATTATTTAATTAATCATGTAAATCTAAAATATCTCTCTAGTCGAATTATGGATTTCATCAAATATCCTGGGAAGCGGGTCTCCCTTCATAAGGGGTTTTATAGATATTATATTTAGGATCGAAAGATTGATAAAATTGTTATAGATAATTCTTTAAAGCTTTATAAGATTAATAATAGTTAGTACAATATTTTAATATGAATTCTGGACACTGTCTCAAATCAAAATTATTAATAATAAAAAAATAAATAATGAGAGCAGATCATAGTATGAAGATATATCCTCGGCCTGACCAGGAATTTAAGAAGAAAACTTCCCTTGATTTTTAGAGAGTTTGGGGTAACATTTACAAATTGAGACCTACTGGATCTTTCGTACAGGGCTACATGTGGTTACTTTGCGGAATCATCGGATTGATGATGGGTGTGACTGCATTCTTACTAGACATACTTGTTGAAGGCCTAATGAAGATTAGATGGGATGCTGCTATGTATATCATTCCAAATAATGTTGGAGTTGGATGGTTCGTTCTAGTTATTATTAGCGCTCTTTATGTCTTTATCTCAGCAATTATGGTGATTTATATCGCACCTGCTGCTTTAGGTTCAGGTGTTGCTGAGGCAATGGGAATTCTTAATGGAGTTGCATATCCTGATTATATTTGCTATAAGACTTTTTTTGTGAAATTCTTTGGTCTTGCTCTTGCTGTATCAGCTGGAATTTGCGGAGGAAAAGAAGGGCCACTAGTTCATATGGGTTCAATATGTGGTTACGCAGCAACAGCTTTGCCTTTCAATTGCTTTAGGTACTTTAGAAATGATTTTGAAAAAAGAAAGCTCCTAGCTGTAGGTACAGCTGCTGGAGTCAGTGCTGCCTTCGGTGCTCCAATAGGAGGTTCTCTGTTTGCTTATGAAATGTCAAAACCAAGTACTTTCTGGTCGTTCTCCCTCACCTGGAAAATATTTTTTGCTTCAAGTATTAGTACTTTTGTTCTTTCAATCTGCAAGTAAATATATCATGGAGACACAGAACATATCAAAGTAATAAATTCTGGAAATGTGAAATTAGCCACTTCTAAAGCAACACCATACCTAGATTCAATGGTTGCTGCTATTTTTCTCGGAGCAATTGGTGGTATGCTAGGGGCACTCTTCGTTATCATTAATAACAAGTTGAATTACTACAGAAAGAAAACTCTAACATAAAAATGGATGAAAGTATTAGAATCCGTGATACTAGTGTCATTAACAGTCAGTGTTTTCTATTTTGCCTCTGTTATAACAAATGAATGTACTCCAGAGAGCTAAGATGATTTTATGATCGCCAAAGGAATTGAAGTTAAACAATTTTCTTGTGAGGAGCATAATTACAACAGACTTGCAACACTTTTATTTGATTCTTAGTCCAACACAATCAAAACATTCATGCAAGAAGGAAATGACTTCTAATTGTACAATATGTGCATATTTGCTGCTGTTTGGTACTTCTTTACTTGTATCACATCTGGTACTGCAGTGCCATGCGGAATATTCTTGCCATGTATTTTGATAGGATGTGCTGTTAGTCAAATCTACTACAAATTTCATATAATTATGTTTGAAGTTTCATCTCAAACTATGACGGCAGGTACTTTGTCTATTCTAGGAGCTGCTGCAGTTCTATCAGGATCTACAAGAATGACCTATTCTTTAGCAGTAATCATGCTTGAAACTACTTCCAACGTTGACCTCTTTTTGCCAATTATCTTCACTCTTTTTTCATCTTATGGTATTGGAACATTACTCATAAACAAATCTATCTACTTGGGTGCTCTTAGATCCAAAAATGTTCCAGTTATTGGCTAGAAAATACCACAAATAAATAGAAACTTAAGTGCTTATAACTTGATGTCCACCCCTGTGGTCTCATTTCATTTTGTAGCTAAAGTTGGAGATGTTTATTTCCAACTTCATAATACTAAATATAGTGGTTTCCCAGTAATGAATAGCAGAAACTAGCCTATAGGCATCATTGAAAGAGATACCTTGATAACGCTGATTTAGAAGAATGCTTGGTATGAGGACATTGGAGCTAAGAGGCTTACTTCTAAATTTATAGATGGAAAAAACACTTTAACCGAGAATGGAACTGCTAGAACATCTTCTTTTATTCACAGATATGAGAGATATGATGAGGATTATAATTAAGAGAAAAATAGAGTTCCAAGTAATAATATTAATGAAAGTATGGATGATGATGGTTCATAACAGATGTTGAACGATGTATTAGTCAAGTAAAATTAAGAGGGTAATGAATATGATTATTAATATCCAAGATAACAGCCTAAACTTAAGTGGGAGGATCTTAATTAAAACTTTAAATCTGCAGAAAAGGACTATAAAACTATAGAACAAATAGCCATTGCTAATTCAGAGTAACTGCTAGATCTTAGACCATATATGATCGAGAGACCATTCTCAGTCATTGTAAGGGATGGTATTTAAAAAGTTCACATGATGTTCAGATGCTTGCATTTGAGACAGCTTCTAGTTACTAATATTGACAATGGTGAAATTCAAGGTATCATTACTAGATAGGATTTATTCTAGTATATGACTTTATGAGTAGTTTAGCCTTTTATCTCTCCATTCATTGGAAATCTTTTATGGAAGCTATCAATAATATTTATAATAGTTGCTAACATTAGATTTAAATCTTTAATTCTGGGGTTTTGGGGTTTTGGGGTTTTGGGGAGATCGGAAGAGCACACGTCTGA